GCGCCGCGACCAATGCGCGCGGCGCCGCTGCCGCCGACGTCGGACAAACAAGGAGAAGGGCACCTCCTGCCACTGCTGCGGGGTCAGCAAATTGACGGCCATGCGTTTGCTGGAGAGGCGCTCGCAGTAGAACGCCTTGTGGCGAAGGGCCTGGGGCCCGATCCATTTGCGGCCGCAGTCGACCACTCTCTCCATGGATCAGTCAGCGCGCCCATGCCCAGGAGAATCGGCGCATGGTTCGTCGCCGCCGACAGGCTGGTCTCACGGAGGTCCCCCCCGTGAAAAACGCCCCCTCTGGCCGCGCCCGTCATGCCCTTCTGGGGGTCATCGTCGAACGCGAACGAGCAGGAACGGCTGCCCGCCTCGAGATCCTCGCCGTTTTTGTCGAGCATCTCGTGCACGAGGCCATCGACGCCCGCTGCCGCCCCCAGGCCCCTCGCGGCCCCGACGTCGAAGATCGCCCAGATCCTCTCGCGCTCTCCTCTGCCAGAAGCCCCGTATCATTCGAGCTCGCGTAGTCCAATTTGTCCTGCACGTATTGAAGCACTCTGCCCCACCCGACCAGACCGCCATCTTGGTCGAGCTCGCCCACCTCGCGCATGCGAGGGCAACTCCCCATGCGCGCCCGAACGCTCGCCCCGCGGGCGCGCGCCATTTGGGGCCCGCACGCGCATCGGTCGGCCACCGTGGTATTTTCCGGGGCATGGACACCTCCAATTCGTAGCTGGCCGGCTCGTCTGCCTCGCCGCTCCGCGCGGGAACCTCAGCCCGCGCAGATGCACGGCTGTCTGCGCTTCTCGAACCGTCGTCATCACGGCGCAGCGGGCAGAGACCAGCGCGCGCCCCTGGTTGACGGAGACCCGAGGCTTCGCTACCAGTCTGAATCGCAACGCTCCACTGCGAGGTCTGCGTCGGAGTAGTTGTCGTCGACGCTGGGGTATTCGCTGGAATGTCTACGTGGACGATGGACGACGCCTTTTGTCCACGGCGCCATCGGCCGCGCCCCCCTGCGCGGTCTGACCAGCGCGGCCGGCGCGCGACAGGGGCCCCGCCTAGCCCGACGGGGCCGAGGATGGCAACGACACGGGGCATGGCAGAACAGAGACGCAGGAGGCGAGGATCTGCCAAGGCGCCCTCCAGCGTAGCATTCAGACAAGGGGATGGAAAGGGCCTGCCATGTCACCCTCCGGCGAGGGCGCCCTCCTGCGCGGCGCTCAGACTATGGAGCCGCGCAACGCGCGGAGGGCGCGCCGACGTGGAAAGTCGGAGCGCATGCGGGCGGCGCCACTGGGGCCTTCGAAGGAGCCCCCTAAGGGGCCCCGAAACAAGCAATGGGCGCGTCGAAATGAAAGGCTGGGCAGCATGCGGGCTGCGCCACTGGGGCCTTCGATGGGGCTCCCGTTGGGCCAGCACAAAAAATGCGGGGCGCGCGGAAAGGGGCGCCTGGGGCGCGCGCGGGCGGCGCCGCCGCGGCCTTCGGTGGAGCTCGCCGCGGGGGCGAGACGCGCCGCGCTGGGCGCGCTGAAATTGCGGACGCGCAGAGGACAAAAGCAAAGGTTGGGGGGGGAGGAGGAGAGAGGACGCCGGGCGCTGCCTCTTCAAAAGAAGACACACCACCACATGACGGCTGCGACAAAGGCCGGCGAAGGACCCAACCACGTGCAATTGCGAACACCGCCGTTGTGAACATGGCCCTCGGCGGGTCTCTTCCCAGGGCCGCGACGCGCAAGAACGGCGCGCATATATGGGGCAGGGCCGCCGCGCGGGCGCCGCCGACGGGGCCGCAACCACGATGGGGTCACAAAAAGCGCGAGGCCCGCGCGCCTATATTGGCGGCGGGAACGCACGCGGGCCGCGCGACAGGGGCCTTCGGCGGAGTTCCTCACGGGGCCAAGAAGCGCGCGAGGGGCGCGCCGAAATCGATGGCGCGGAGTGGAGTGGCGCGGGGCTCGTGGCGCATGCGAGTCTGTCTCTCTAACCCTTGAAGCGCGCTCGACTGCCCGGCCTCATTCTCGGCATGGCTGAAGACCTCGGGCTTTAACCCGCGCTCGCTGGGCCCTGTTCATCTGATCGCGACACTGCTTGCTCAAGAGGCGAGTTCGCTTCTGGGCGACGCCGCCACGCCGCGCGCAAAACCGCATCCTGAGAGACGCGTGAACATTCTGGGCGCGGGCGGAATGAACCCAGCCCCCCCGCGATGTGGACGCGGACCCCCTTCTTCGGCGACATAAGCACCCCGTAGACATTACGCTACTCCGGGCATGACGCGGGCCGCCAGGCCCCCCCGCGCGCGCGTCGAAGGCCGACCCGAGACACCCCAGACAACGCCGCTCATCCCCCGCCAAAGCGCGGGGAGATAACAAGGCGGAGACATCGGGGCAGAGGGGCGAGGAGGCGGGGGCGCAGCAGCAGCAGAGCTCCTCTTTTCCCCTCGGACCCTCGGCCGCCTCGGCGGCAGCCGCGCTGTCGACCGTCGCCCAGAGGAGGCGCTGCCCGGCCAGGAAGGCTCTCCTCTCGCGCATGAGGGCGCGGCCTCTGGCCTCTGTCGGCCCCTGGCACCCGCGCGTCGCGCGCGGCGTAATCCGCCAGCTCGTCCGCGACAGCGCTGGCCACGACCAAGCCCTAGACGCCTCGGCCTTCGCGCGACTGCTCGGCCGCGGCGCGGGAGTTCGCGAACAGAACACCAAGCCGTCGGTCTCGAACATGCTTTCCAATTTGCCACCGAGTACCAACATCGCCCCCCCACCCACCCACCCACCCCCCACACCCCACGGGCGTCGATGCTTCTTGCCATGCCCCACGTCGCAGTCGCTGATGGTGGCGATGACGCGACGTCGATGGTCATGATGCGACGGAGCGCGTTTCTTTATTTTCGGCGATCGTGGGCGTTACGGGGGGGGCCGCGGGGGGCATAACGCAACGCCCCCCCCCCCCGCCATGTGGCTCCGGCACAACAGAGATTTTGTCTATCCCGGATAGCGGCCGTCATCGGCCCCGCCCACCCCCCCAGATGACGTCACGTTCCGCGCCAGCGTCGTCCGTGAATGCCTAAGGATGACCAAGGCCAAGTAGGAGCAGCATATAGGTGCCGATCTTCTTCAAAACGTCTGTGAACACCACAACGCTCGCGTGCACCACAGCGCCTGTGTACACCACAGCGCCTGCGTACACCGCAGCAACCGTGTGCAACGCAGCGCCTGTGTACACCACAATGCTTGCGAGCACCGCAGCGCCGGTGTACACCACAGCGCCTGTCTACAACACAGCATCCGCGCGCAACGCAGCGCCAGTGTACACCACAGCGCCTGCGTCCACAGGACAGGTAGAAGGAGCATGTAAGTGTGGATCTGCTGCGGACGGCTAAACACCACGCCACGGAAGCGTTGATAATAAAATGGGACGCTATCCTTCCTCCCTCCTCCTCCGCCTCCATTCCACCTCCACCTCCACCTCCTCCTCCTCGTCCCCTCCTCCTCCTCCTCCTCTTTCTCCTCCTCCTCGTCCTCCTCCATTTGCTCCTCATCCTCCTCCTCCTCCTTCACCCTTCCCCCGTCGTGCGGGCCGGCGCTACATCCATCTCCGCGCGCACCGCTATTGAATCAGCCACCACTTGGTTCTCGGATGGCAAATTCAGCTGGGGACTCCTGGACGCATATGGGAAGGGTTCGGATGATGCGGGAGGACTCGTAGATTCCAGCAGCGCTTTTTCCGCAAGGATTCCTTAGAACGGTTGTTTTTTGTGGAACCCACACGCGCTCCAGTGTGTCATTTGGAGTCCTTCTGAAGTTCTATATACAACAGTTGTGCTCTGTTGCGCACGGTTGCTGTGTTGCACACAGGCGCCGTGGCGTACACAAGCGCTGTAGTGCACGCAGGCATTGTGGCGTGCACTGGTGCTGTGTTGCACACGGCTGGTGTGGTGTACGCAAGCGCTGTGGTGAATACGAGCGCTGTAATGCCCGCAGGCACTGAGGCACACACTGGCGCTGTGTTGCACGCGGCTTCTGTGGTGTACATAGGCTGTGTGGGTTACACAGCCGCTGTGTGGCGCTGTGGTGCACGCAAGCATTGTGGTGTACACAGGCTCTGTGGTGGTGCGGATCGCCCGGGGGATACAAAGCACGTTATTCCCAAAGCAATAAAGAAACACGCTCATGTTGGTACTGATGCTTATGCTGATGATGACGACAAGGACGACGACGATGATGGTGATGATGAGGAGGAGGAGGAGGAGAAAGAGGAGGAGGATGCAGATGCTGATGAGGCTCATGAGGGTGATGTTGATGATGATGATGATGATGATGATGATGATGATGATGATGATGATGATGATGATGATGATGATGATGAGGGCGATGATGAAGATGGCCATGATGATGGGGATGATGAGGGAGGAGTGGAAGGAGCAGGAAGAGAGGAGGAGAAGAGGAGGGACGCGGGAGGAGGAACGCGGGATGATGTCTTTGTCAAAACGAAGACCCAACAGCACAAGGTGGTTGGACAAAAAACTAGCCTGGCAAAGAACCCAACCAGATGCAGCCGTGAGTTACGCAGTTGTAAGCATCGTCATCGGTGGAGTTCCCTACATGGCCACGAAGCGCGTGGAGTGCGTGCCGACCTTGGTTCCAGGGGCGCATGCAAGCGCGCCGCTGGGACCTCCGGTGGCGCTTCCCGATTGGGCCACGGCGCGGATGAGAAGTGTGCCGAATATTGTGGCGGGGGCGCGTGCGGACGGTGCCGCAACGCCCGGCGAGGGCCCCCAACGGCCGAAACCAACAACAAAAATGATGCGCCTGTTTTCCACCACCACCACAATACGTTGGAGGGGGAGGGGGTCCTCCTCCTCCTCCTCCTCCTCCTCCTCCTCCTCCTCCTCCTCCTCCTCCTCCTCCTCCTTCCCCACTCCAACTTATGGTGGTGGTGGTGGAAAACAGGCCCATCAAAAAACGTCCGTCATCATTTTGCCACGACGCGCTGGGGGTCTGGGAGCTTCCGCCCGCCCCGGGTCTTCGTGGGCACGGGGAAGGGCACCAGGCTGCCCTGCGAGAAGAGGGCGGGCTTCCAGGCCTCGGGGACGGCCAGCTGCATGACCGCGAGGTTGCGGTAGGCGAGGATGTTGCTCTCCAGGCCCTGGCGGCTGCTCCAGCACACGTTGCACACCTTCGCGGAGGCCGGCCAGAACGGCATGCTGCGCTCTCTGGACAGCCAGAGACAGCACAAGCAGCAACTTTCGGAACTCTGGGCGGAGTTCTCGGGTCGGCTCTGGGCCCCCCTGGCGGCGCCTCCAGCGAGAAGCCACTGGAGCACTCCGCGCGCCAGGGAGGGGATTCAGCGTCGATCTGAAAAATCCGGGCGAACCTCCGAAAGGTTATGCTTGTTTTGCTGTTTCTTCTTCGAGTTCTGCGCGTTCGCCCCGTGTTCGTTCAAAGCGGGGGCAGCCTGGCAGCTGCAGGCAGCTAAGGAGTCTGCACTTACTGGAACCCCCGACCACATCCTTCAAGAAGCACCCCCCCCCGTGCCAACTTGCCCGACACCCCTTGCCCGCCCTCCCACACTCGGGTCGGGCGAAAGGGGGGGATAGCAAAGGGGGGGTTTGAGAATCAGCTCACGTAGCTGATTTTCCCGGCGCCTCCCGGCGCCAGAGGCGGCCATGTATCGAGGAATGGACCCCTCAGTGGGGCCGAAACCAACTGCATGTAGCAAATTTCGTAACCCCCCCTTTCCCAATCCCCCCCTTTCGTCCGGCCCGACACACGCCCCAAGCCCACCCCCTCTCGCTCCCCAACCTTCCCACGCCCCCCGAAGGACAGCGGTTTCCCACACCCCCACGCGATATCCACCCCCCCCCCAGCGCTTATGGAGAGACATGGAGTTACGCGTTGGACTGTCCTGCGGCCCGGACACGGCCCCCGGAGGCCGAGAGAGGCAAGAAAGCCCTCCTCCTGCTGGCCGGAACCAGTGCTGGGCCGCCCCCAACCCCCCGCCGACTCCAACCCTGGGCATCGCTCGGACGTCCATTCCCTGTGTTTTTTTGTTCGGTTTCGTGCGTGGTTTTTTCGCCAAGTGATCAAGGATGCTCCTCGATGGTCCTCGCCGAAGGAAAAATGCACACGTCCGAGCGATGCCGAGAACCTGGGAATGTTCCCGAAGAGCGGCGGTCTGGTGTACCCCCGGGGCCACAATCGGTCGCCGGCGGCCACCCGAAACAGGAGCGGAACAGGAACGGGTCCAGCCCGAAGACGGCCCACGAGGGTGGCATAAACCTGACGGCCACACTGAGCATAGTTTAAAAGATCCCTATCCCCACGGGCGTGGCCTGGGCCCCACTGGCAGAGTTACCCCTAGATGGGATAGAAGCTGTTCCCTTCGAGTTTCGAACGGCATACCCCCAACTGGAGTGGAGGGATGTGTGGTTCGCGATGGGGATGGGGATAGGGATGGAGATCGGTTCAACGATGCTGATACCCGTGAACCCTGTCCCTGCTGGTCAGGGTCCCGAACAAACGGCCTGGCCTCAGAATTTGAAGGATGCCTGCAGCCAAATGAACCCCAGTGTGTGGCCGCCGCAAAGAAACGTCATTTGGGCTGGCCCGTGAACCTTCGGGCTCTTTTTGGGCCAATCCTGGAAGCCCTCAAACGCGCCGAACAGGCGGGCGGCGACCTCGGAGTTCACCTGGAGGAACAAAACGCATCATGAACAGATTATGTCGAAGCTCCGCGCGGATGTCTTGTGATCGGCGCTGAACCCCAATGGGCGGCGCCAGAGGCGACGCCAGGGGACCCGATCGCACATACAAGAAATCCGCGCGGACCTCCGAAAATGTATGTTTATGCGTTTTCATAGTATTCGATCTCCGCATTTGCAAACGCGTAGCCGAGCGTTTGGTTCGTCTTGAAGTCCATGGGCACGTACACCAAGTCCGCCAGCCCCTTTTTCGAGCCACCGGGCGTGTGACCCAGATCTCCTCGCGTCATGAAAAAACACGGTCCTCGCAGAGCCCCAGAACAGTCAAACAACGCTTCGGAACAAAAAACCGGTTCTGGGTAATGAATCGAAACCTCTGGGGGTCCAATTTGTGAAAATTAGCCGGACGAAAGACTCAACCAAATGTAGCTGTGGGTACCGCAATTGTGGGTATCGTCTTCGGTGGAGCTCCATGTGGGCCACAAAACGCTGCACTGGGTGGGGGAGACGCGTGTGGACGGTGCCACTGGGGCCTTCGGTGGAGCTCCCTATCACTCACTCAAACCATGCGTCCAGCAGGGCGCGTCGGAACAACAACCACACTTGGCATTCACAACAAAGCAGGATTCGAGCGCGCGGCGTAGAGCAACGGGGTGAAATGCGAGGGGGCGAGGGCGAGGAAAATGACGAGGCAAGGAAATACACGAACTATCAGCCGGGCATGGAGCGCCACATGCGCCATGGAGCACCAAACGTGCCAAATGTCTGGCGATAAATTCGACGAGCGCCGCGGCAGCCTCATGGGTTCTGCGATTCCCCCAGCACGCCGTAGACACGCTGGGCCAATTGTTATCTGGGTCTGTCTCTCCATCCGCGACCGCACCAACGTTTTGAGCGCCTCCTTCGGCGAACACGAGGTATGTAACAAGCGAACTGTTCTCCTGGGACACGATCTCGCGGTATACATGAAATTGTAAATCGTTCAACAGGTCGGAGAGGGGTTTGGAGCCAGCACGCTGCTTGGAGATGGAAGCGACATCCGTTGATTTAAGTATTCAAAGTCTTACAATTATTAAAATCACTTAAATTCTTAAACTGCTAAATAATGGTTTCAAAAAATCGAATGCACGAAATATTTAGATGATTAAAAATATGGCACACTTACAATATATTTGAATAATTGAAACAATTACATACTAGGCGCACCTTTTCTTCGGATGATCACTGATATAAGTTAGTGTAAAAAACACGGCCATCTATGTTGTTATATACATAAACAAAAAACATTCGAATTATTTGAATACGCGCCTTGGGGATGCAAGCGCAACCCGTTGATTGAATTATTTAATGTTTGAAAGTATTAAACTTATCCGAATTTCCAAGTTGAGTTAATTGAATGCAAGAGCTATGTGATTTATAACGTCATTAAATAATCAAATAATTCAAAGAAAAATCAAATTAGTTAACTAATTTGAATAATTAAATGCTAGGCGCCGCATGTCTTCGGATAGTCGCTGGTTACACTTATGTAAATGATGTGCTGCGTCCAGTGTTAAAATTTATTTGAATAAATTGAATCATAAGTTTGCAATGATTGAATACATGGGTTTCGCATACACTCAGGAAAACAATAATATAAAACACATGATTGCTTAAAACATGTTGCTCAGACTTTTATAGTTCTTTGCATTGTGTGAATAGGTGCAACATGTATCAACACAAATAAATTGATTACTGCTTGATCAGATACTGCACCCTAGCCGTCGGTTGACGTATTTGTTCATCGATATATTTCTGTAGGTCGCATGATGGTCGCAGTAAATATTTCCAGAGCGATGGCAAGCCTTTTTGTTCGCATTGCAACGCGCATGCACAAGTCACGGCAGTGACCAGAAAGTTCTTGGCGCGCAATTAATTCGCAACTAGAGACATGCTTCCAAAACGAAAACGGCCCGCAGCAGGCAACGCGCGCGGGAAATCAATGCAACGCAATTGCAGCCACCAAGCTCACGATAATAAGGCGCCAAGCAACGCCTGCATCATGGGGCGGGCGGATCTCATCGCCCTAGCTCCGCTTCCGAATGAGAGAAAACGGCGCGCGCTTGCGCTGCTTCGCGGCGCCAGGCCGCTTTATCACATGATGTGGCGGCTTCTTTCCGGCTGGCTTCCTCGCGACAACCACGCGCCTGTGGTCCGCCGTCCATTTGCTCGCCGGGGGCTGCGCGGCTTTGCGATGCAGCGCCATTGGGGGCTCTGCCTTTTTTTTTTTCGGCGCGCCCTGCTCCTGCGCCTGAGAAGAGCAACGATTCGCCCACGCATCGGCAGATCTTGCAAAAGAGCAAACCACGCTAGCCGCAACCGTCCGCGAAGATAGCTGGCGCAGGGTAGGGGCATACATCGCAGAATTACGCATCATTTGCTTGCCGATTACATCGACGCTGAGCTGAAGCTCTAGAGTCTGCGCATACAACTCAGGCTGGTTTCTAAACCACCGATTAAATTCGCCGCGCAGCGCTTCGTTCGGGCTCGTGCCCGAACCGAGCAGCGACAGAGCGCGGCGCGGCAACGAGTGCCGCATGCGCGAGTTATTGAACATATATTGACACCGACTGCACTGCGCAGCATTCGCTATCACATCGGCCAGCTTCTGGCCTGGCGCCGCGGGAGCGCGCCCGTCGACTTCTCCCCAGAAAACACACGTCAATGCAGCCAACGAATGGCTGATTGGCGTCAAGATCTGCAAGAATCCTCTGCGCTCGGCGCCTCTGCATTGAACCAGAGGCTATCAGTGATTGCGCGCTGCTCTCCGCAGCAGACACCGATTTCGCTTCGTGGCCTCTGTGGGATGCGCCCCACGCGTCGCCGCACAAACCTGCGTTCACCTGGTTGAATGTTCAAAATGATTCGCAATGCGGATTGGACGGGAGAACGTTTCCGCCAGTGCGCTCGGTTATGAATGATTGCGAGATGAACAGGGTCTAGGCGCAAAAATTTCAGCTGAGACATAATTTGCTTCAGCTCAGAAAATAATTGCGCCGACGGGTCGCCCGCTACAACTGACGCGCACTGCTGGAGAGCTCGCGCGGGCAGACGCTCTTGGAGAGCAGCCTCCACGACGGATGCTGCCTCACTGGCCACGGGCCACGTGCCGATGGCGGCTGAAAAGCGACCCTTCACTGTCAGAATGCGTCTCTTTGCAACGCCGTCTGAAGACGGCGCAGCCGCCCGAATCTCGGCCGGCTCTCTGCAGTTCGCCTGGCCTTTCACGCGCATGGCAGCGCGCGAGGTCGCATCCACCGATATATGCTCGAACTCAGCGTTATCCATCAATTCGCTCATGAGAGAGGCTCGCAAATCACCCACGAACGGAGACGAGAAAACATCTTCCATCAGGGACAACCATGCAACGACATCGCTAGGTAGAAAAAGAGTGGTACAACAGCCAGCTTCCTTGAAGCGCGCCAAGATCCTCGTTCTCGTCGGGCGAGTGCGACCCTCGTGCAGGATAGATTTGCGGAACGCGAGCTCGGCGAACTCCTTCGTGTAGCACGCGTTTCCAACGCGCCCAGCTTGGAGCGCGCCGTCTCTGGCGAGAACTTGGAAGTTTACGAACCGGGGGCCGTCGTTATCCAGAAGGAGCCGGATGCGCTTGTCAACGCCAAGACACCGCAGCGGCGGGCCCACCGTCCGCCGCATGAGATCGGCGCTGCGCTGCAACAGATTATTCGGCTGGTGCTTGGATAACAAATCGTCGTCAAACAACGCCTGACTGATTTTCCGCTGCTTAATGCCAGAAGCAACGTATCTTCCGCAAAACATTTTCCGATCTCGACCGCTCTCAGGTGCAAGCCGGGGTGATTCCCGATGTGCGCAAGGAGATCTCTCTCAACATGCACAGACGAAGCAGCATATTCTTTGAATGGGCAAAGCAAACATCTAGCAATGCTCCCATTGCCTTCTTTCGCGGCGCCAGTGCGAGAAAGGGATTTCACGGTGTTCTCGAAGTCCATAACCTCATCACATAGCAGCTGCAAGACATTCGCATGGATGCGCACGCATGAATCGTCGTCCAAGTCCTCGTTGAGCTCCTCGCCGGCGCTCGCAACGTCAATGGCCTCCCCCCCAATGCTGGCCCCGGCTGCCATATTCATGGCGTCGCATGCAGCGATGTCCCCGATTGGGATCGATGAATGCCCGCTGCTAAATGCAAGCGCCGCCTCGGCGCCGAAGTCAAGCAGAACGCGCAAGCAATCGTCGAGACCACCTAGAGGCACGTGCCAAAATAATCCCTCTGAGTGCACCACGCCGCCGCCGTGCTCGAAAGCTTCGACCGCTGCGCAATGCTCTCTGCCCGCAACTTTCCCATGGACCAGAAAATGACCATGATTCCCCATCGCCCGCATCGGGGCCGGTCGCAATGAAACGCCAAGTAGACTAGCGCAATCGCTTCATCGACGAAGACCGCTCGCCATGGCTACCGCGTTCTCGTCCGCATCCATTGTCGCTGCTGCGATGACGTCGCCCCAGTCGCCACAGAGCGTCGCAACGGCGAGCGGGATGCGCTTGCCACTCTGCGCCAGACGGCGGCAGCGAGGAGAAATGACACCGGCGATCGAACAGCCCTGCTCGCGGGAAGCTGCTGCCTCCCGCTGCGCCGCGCGGCTAGCCGGCGAGGGTGGCGACGGGGAGCGGTCAGAGCTCGGGCGACCTGCGGCGGCTCGCGCAGCGAGCGAGGCCAACGTCGTCGACGCCGGCGCATGCTAATGAATCTATGGCGCCTTCCAGGAAATGGTCTGGCTTGTCCTCGCCGTCGCGCTCAACGGGCCATATCTGAGATGCGGTTATCACGCGTCGATCGAGAGCCGCCAGGGCGGCCTCGTCTAACGCCCCGACTGGCAAACTCCAGCGCTCACTGCCTACGTAGCACTTGCACGGGCCACCCTCCTTTATCTCCAGGCCGAAGCAGAGGGGCGCTGCATGCGGCTCACTGCGCACTTAGAATAATCCAGAACAGCTATCCTGAAGCACTTCCACGGGCAACAGCTCCACGTTGGCCGCGCCCGAGCATGCCCGACATGTGCGGAGTGACACCGCGCTGATCTGCGAGGCGCTCGCCGCTGCTCTGGACTGCGTCACGGCGGCAGCCGCCTTCTGCGATATCTCCGACCACTCGCCCGTGAGCGCAGCCATTGCGCAGAAGATGCCGTTGCCAGCAGAG